TGGAGAGTACATGGACTTGAAATTCCAAGACTATTTGATAGAACATGGAATTCAGTCACAACTTTCTGCACCTAATATGCCTCAACAGAACGGTGTATCTGAAAGAAGAAACCGAACCTTGTTAGACATGGTTCGCTCTATGATGAGCTATGCTCAATTACCTGATTCCTTTTGGSGACATGCRTTAGAGACCGCTGTCTACATTTTGAACAATGTTCCCTCTAAGAGTGTTTCTGATACACCTTATGAGCTATGGAAAGGGCGTAAAGGTAGTTTACGTCACTTTAGGATTTGGGGCTGCCCAGCACACGTGTTGGTGCAAAACCCTAAGAAATTGGAACGACGTTCAAAATTATGTCTATTTGTAGGTTACCCAAAAGAATCAAAAGGTGGTTTGTTTTATAATCCTCAAGAGAATAAAGTATTTGTGTCGACAAATGCCACATTCTTAGAGGAAGACCACATTAGGAGTCATCAACCTCGCAGTAGGCTAGTATTGAATGAGATGTCCAAAAACACTGCAGAAAGAGCTAGTTCATCAACTAAAGTAGTTAATGGAACTAACATTTATGGTCAGTCACATCGTTCTCAAGAGTTGAGAATGCCTCGACGTAGTGGGAGGGTTGTTCTTCAGCCTGACCGTTACTTGGGTTTAACTGAAACTCAAATCGTCATACCAGATGACGGCATAGATGATCCATCAACCTATAAACAGGCGATGAATGATGTGGACCGAGACCAATGGATAAAAGCCATGGACCTTGAAATGGAATCAGTGTATTCCAATTCGGTCTGGGTTCTTGTAGATCAGCCAAATGACGTAAAGCCAATTGGTTGTAAATGGATCTACAAGAGAAAACGAGACCATACCGGGAAAGTACAGACTTTCAAGGCTCGACTTGTGGCAAAGGGTTTCAACCAGAGAGAGGGAGTTGACTATGAGGAAACTTTCTCTCATGTTGCCATGCTAAAGTCGATTAGGATACTCTTGTCCATCGCCACTTTTTATGATTATGAAATTTGGCAGATGGATGTCAAGACAGCATTCCTAAATGGAAGTCTTGAAGAGAGTATCTATATGGTCCAACTAGAGGGGTTCATTGAACAGGGCCAAGAACAAAAGGTTTGTAAGCTTCAGAGATCCATTTATGGATTGAATCAAGCATCTCGGTCCTGGAATATAAGATTTGATACTGCGATCAAATCTTATGGCTTTGAGCAAAATGTTGACGAACCTTATGTATATAAGAAAATCGTCAATTCCACTGTAGCATTTCTAGTTTTGTACGTTGACGACATCCTACTCATTGGGAATGATGTAGGTTTTCTGTCTGACGTTAAAAAATGGCTAGCTAAGCAATTCCAAATGAAAGATTTGGGAGATGCACAGCATGTTCTAGGGATCCAAATAGTTCGGAACCGAAAGAACAAGACACTAGCCATGTCTCAAGCAACTTATATCGACAAAATGTTGTCTAGATATAAGATGCAGAATTCCAAAAGAGGTTTATTACCTTTTAGACATGGAATTCACCTGTCTCAGGAACAGTGTCCTAAGACACCTCAAGAAATTGAGGGGATGAGACATATTCCCTACGCTTCAGCTGTTGGAAGCTTAATGTATGCTATGTTATGTACTAGACCTGACATATGCTATGCAGTAGGGATAGTCAGCAGATATCAGTCTAATCCAAGATATGATCATTGGACTGCCGTTAAAAATATCCTCAAGTATCTTAGGAGAACGAGGAACTATATGCTCGTGTATGGTGCTAAGGATCTGATCCTTACTGGATACACTGACTCTGATTTTCAGACCGATAAAGATGCTAGAAAATCTACATCGGGATCAGTGTTCACTTTGAATGGAGGAGCAGTAGTGTGGAGAAGTGTAAAGCAAACTTGCATTGCAGACTCCACAATGGAAGTTGAATACGTAGCTGCTTGTGAAGCAGCAAAGGAAGCAGTGTGGCTCAGGAAATTCTTGACTAATCTGGAAGTCGTTCCAGACATACATCTGCCCATCACTCTCTTTTGTGATAACAATGGAGCAGTTGCAAATTCCAAGGAACCTAGAAGCCATAAGCGCGCAAAGCATATTGAGCGGAAATACCATCTCATAAGGGAGATAGTAAACCGGGGAGACGTGGTCGTCACTCAGATAGCCTCGGAAGAGAATCTTGCTGATCCATTTACTAAGGCCCTCTCGGCTAAAGTGTTTGAGGGTCACCTAGAGAGTCTAGGACTACGAGTTTTGTAAA